ATGAGCATAGTATTCCATTGTGCGAATATACCACAGCTTCTCTAGCCATTCGTTTGTTGATGGGCACTTAGGTTGTTTCCAACTCCTTGCTATTGCACACCAAGTGTTTTAAGCTGTCTCATTGACAGCTTCTAGCACTTGGAGCCTTGGTGGTGCAAGGGTTCAAGTATTGGGTTACGAATTTAAGGAGCCCATGAGCCATGCTGCCAGAGCAGGAGGCGGCAGTCTGTTTCCATGGAATTGGAAACCCCTTGGATGGTTGTGCTGTGTCCGGTAGAGTCACTGGGCATTGGAATTGACTCTGAGGCAGTGTCCTGGCTTTTTTAAAAAAGAGGTTATTGTTGTTGGTCACTGCGTCAGAACCAACTAATTAATTGCACAATTGGGCCGTTAATTGTACAAGAGGAGCCTGCCCATCCTTCTCCCGCTGAGCAGCTGGTGGGTTCACACTGCATGCCTTTGGGATTGCAGTGCAGCTTCTCAACGTTAGGCCACCAGAGCTCCCTAAAAGGTCTGTTGTTCTTGTGTGCCTTCAAGTTGCCTGTGACGCATAGTGATCCTCTGTACAACAGCCCTAAACCCTGCTCTATCCTGTACCAATCTTACTGTCCCTGACACAACTATCCGTATTACCTCAGTCACTGAATTGATCCACTTCATTGAGGGTCTTCCTCTCCTGCGCTGTCCCTCCTCCCTCCCAAATATGATGTCCCCCTCCAAGGACTGGTCCCACCTTGCAACATATCCAGAGTATGTCAGATGAAGCTTCAGAATCCTGGCCTCCTAGGAGCAGCCTGGCTTCACCCTCTCCAGGACGAACTTGTTCTCCATGGTATTTCCGGTACTCTTCTCCAGCACCACAGCTGAAAGGCATCAATTATTCTATCATCCTTCATCATTGCCCAGCTTTCTAAATCCTAGCAAGTAATTGCAAAGACCATGGCATGTATCAGGCACATCTTAGTCTCCAGACTGACATCGTTGCGCTTAGGTACTTTGAAGAGGTCTGACAGGGTAGTAAATGGAATAATCTCTCAAGCCATTGGCAATGTTTTAAAACTTCTCAAGAGAATCCTTAGAGAGTTCCTGTGTAGTGCAAAAGGTTAATACACTTAATCACTAGCTAAAAGTTTGGAAATGCAACTCCACCCAGAGGTGCTTCAGAGGAAAGGCCTGGTGACCTGCTTGGAAAAAATCAGTCATTAAGACTCCAAGGAGCCAGTTCTGCTCTGACACACGTGGGGTCACTAGCTGCATGGCCACGAGTTGGAATTTCTCAGAAAGAGGTGACAGTAGCTGGCACACTGATGATGATGATGTGAGCTATGTGCTGTTGTT